TTTTTTTATATATAAAAAATCATCACTTAATTAATCACTATCCAATCGTTCCGATACCTGTGATCACCCTCTGTATTTTATATTTTTGTTTTGCGGCGATTGCGTCACATAGCCGTGACCTAAATTTCACACATTAAGGATTGTGCCACAAGTATTACATCATGCAATCGTAACCTAATTTTCCTCCTAGCAGTATGTATGTTTTATAATATACTTCTGCTATCTATCTACTCAAATATTAATAATCTTCTTATGGTTAATTTTACTCTAACAGAATGATTAAATTGCTTTCTCCACGCCACTAATCTCCTTTACAATAGAATTGCTTTCTTAGACATGTGATATGTGCAATCTTAAAACTATAAATATAAGACTCAAAACATATTCAAGAACCATACACGACGGAACAAAATCTAATGGGTAATTTTTCTCTAATTTTATAATTATATATATATTCTTGGATACCAGAACGTGATCTTACAGAACAAAATATAATGGATAATTTTTTTCTATTTTTCAGTCTAAGTCGATTTCATGAGATATATATTCTCTGGATCCCTTAGAATTAAGTCTGTTAGGCAACCAACCCACCACCTATCCCAAACCAACATGTGATGTGCAATTCCTAAAAAACTTCTTATGGTTAATTTCACTCCAACAGAATGATTAAATTGCTTTCTTGCATGCCATCTATTTATCTAAATATTAATAATCTCCATTATGATAGAATTGCATTCTTAGACATGTGATACATGTGATTCTAAAACTATAAATATGACTAAAAACATATTTAAGAACCATACATGATGGAACAAAATCTAATGGGTAATTTTTCTCTAATTTTCTAAATTGATTTCATAAAATTTTATAATTATAATTCTCCAGATTACAGAACAAAATATAATGGGTAATTTTTTCTAATTTTTCAGTCTAAGTCAATTTCATGAAATCTTATAATTATATTCGCTGGATCCCTTAGGATTGAATCTGTTAGGCAATCAACCCACCACCTATCCTAAACCAACACGCGACATGTGATTCCTAAAAAACTAAGATATAATCAAAGATGCCTTCAGGAACTATACTTGGTAGATAGACTAAAAAATAATTTTATTTGAATCATTTACGATGTAAGGAGTTTATAATGATTACTATAATTATGATTATTAACTTTAATCATAGAAAATCACTTACGTTTAAATATAAATTAATTAGTTCAAATTAATTAAGTATTAATAAATTTGCATAAGAAGCTTACCAAATGATAGATGGAAGTAGTAATAGCTCAAAGATTTAAATTAGTATATATTTAATTAATTAATAATTAATTAAATTCACATATATTAGGCACTTACCGAATGAGAGGCAGAGTTGAAGAAATATTTGAGGGTTTAAAAAAATAATCATTCTAATACGAATCATATAGTTTCTATAGTGTATGGAAAAAGAAACCACTCCTTTATATAGATTTATAAACTGGTAATAGATCAGTAATACTTAGAAGGCAATTGTCAAATCTTATCGATTTTGTTTATCTAAACTTTATTGAAAATTCTGGCAATATGAACTACATGATTGGCAGAGCCATTTTAACTCCAAATAATAACCAAATCTCTGACCTGATTATGAATGGCTTCCAGGTGAAGTTTACATGTATTACAGTGCAGACTCTGTAGGTTTAGAGGATGGTAATGTGGAACAGCCCCAATTGTATTCCCTTGAATTTTTAAGATCCCTAAAGATTTGTGGTCTCCCTCCTGACGAATTAAAGTTAAAAGTAGGAATACCTATTATGCTTTTATGAAACTTAGACCCATCAAAAAGACTTTGTAATGGGACCCAATTAATTTGTCGTAGACTTCTTAGTAAGGTAATCGATGTGGAAATTATGACAGGTTCATACATTGGACAACACATTTTTATATCTAGAATTACATTAACACCTTCTGATACCAGTTTGCCTTTTACTTTAATGTGACACCAATTTTCTATACGAGTTGCATTTTCTATGACTATTAATAAAGCACAGGGCCAGACATTAAATCAGGTGGGTCTCTATATGCCACAGCCAGTTTTTTTCACATGGTCAGCTGTACGTCGCTCTATCAAGAATCACTTCTTACCGATGCATCAAAATTCTTATATCAAATTACATAAATAGAAACTAAGATCGACAGACAAAAAATATTGTGTATTACAAAGTTTTTAAATAATCATTGTTATACAGAAATGATAATCCTCTAATACAGTCGTAATTAGATTATATTATTATAACAGTCATGATAATATTTCTATGGTTTATATATAAATTCTGTTGCTTTGCAACAGATTAACATCTAGTATATATATATAATTTTATTAAATTATAAATCTAAATTAAAAAAAATAAAAAACTCTCTCCTGATCACATTCATTTTGTTAAAAATTTTCTTTTTATAGTAATTTTAAGCAAGAAAAAATGTTCTACTCTCTTTATCACAAGTTAGCCCCAGCTCAGGAACTCAATAACCTTCAAGATAACTGGTGCAGTGGGATAGAATCTCTGGTTGAAGTTTACTCAAGTTTGGAAGTCTTGCTTGTTCTTCGATTGCATGAGGAAAAGCCCATGGCAGTTCTCTTTTCTTCAGTTCTCTTTACTCTTATTCTATCATAAAAACCATATACATCATTACCATCATACTTGCTTGCTGCACCACCTTCAATCTCCAAAAATTTTTCATCCCAAAAATTGAAATCAGTTTACCCTCATCAGATGATCAGTGCTCTAATCATCCAATCAGATTTTGCTTAAAGATCAAAACAAAATCTAAACAAGCATAAACTGGTTTTGTACCACAACAATGATCACAACAACAAATACTAACTTACTATCAACAACTATAACAACATCACATGTACTTTATTATCTATAGCACCCAAAGAATCAGTCTGGGGGTTCTTCCATTACATACATGGATTTTATAGTATTTATATATATATTTTTCTGTAAATAAATATCAATTCTTTATTTATTTGTATATTACAAGTTATACATTCAAAAATAATCAATATCTCTTGAGTGCAAAGCATACAAGTTTAATGCTAGCCTACCTACTAAAACTATAAATAGTTAATACTGAAAAGAAATTTTAAAACAAAATTGTTGCTAAATATAGGCCAAGTGGTAGCTATGCTTATCTACTTAGAAAAAAAATATTTACGATGTAAGGAAAATTTGAGAAAAGAAAAATAAAAGTAACTAGAACTAAAACAAAATCAAATAAACTATAAAATCTGAGAAAAAAAATATTATTTCCAAGAAAATCTTTTTGGTCAGGCTTGTTGTCCTGTCTCTCCAGTTCATTGCTACTTGTAAATATAATTTTTGTTAACATGAATGATAAAATGTATATGATTTAGTTTGTTTTTGTTGTTGTTGTTGTGTTAATATAATTGATGGTTGATAAAATAATTGGTCTATAAGTCAGTGGTATGATTTTGTTTTAATTGTAGTTGCCAAAACTGGTTTTGTTTATGTTGATTGTTGTGTAGTGTTTTGATTGTACAAATTTGTTTTGATATTTGGTAGTATTTGATTGGTTGAGTTTGAAGTGGTGATCAGTTGACAGGAGTAAACTGATTACAGTTTTTTGGTAAGAAATTTTTTGAGTAAAAATTTTTGAATTTTGTGGTGCAACATGTTGTGCTAAGTAATAGTGAAGAGTGAGTATTGTATATACTGCTAGTGCCCCAAGCCAACAATATAAACAATATTGGTATAATATTTGTTTTTTTGAGATAAATAACAGAATCCCAAGGAAAATTTTTAGAAAAATAACTGCCACAGGCCTTTTCTCATACAATCTAAGAAAAAAGCAAGGGCCCCAAACTTGCTTTGGGTTCCTTGGGGTTCTTGTAATGAAGATAAAAGAAGTGAGAATGACTTTTGGATATTGAAAAGTGAAAATAAAAAAACTGTTTCTTTAATTTTGAAAAAAATTACTATAGAAAGAAATTTTTAAGAAAAATGTTGTGTACAGGAAAGTGTTTTTTTTTATAGTTTTATTTTATTTTATCATGTAACAAGTAGTTATATTATTATAAATATTTGTAAATTGGTTAATATATTATGATTTTATTTTATAGTATATTTGATTTAGTTTTAGTTATTTTTATTTTTAATTTTTATTTTTACATTTAAAAAATCAAAAAAATTCACAAAATTTTCTGGAATGGTAGGCATAGCTGCTACCCAGCCCTATCTAACACACTAATATTGATTTTAAATTTTTTTATAATATTAGATATTGATAAGTAGGCAAGCTAGTATTTAACTTTCCTGAAATAATGAAAGAGATGTTTCTTTTATGATATATAGCTTGTTATATACAATATCAAATAAGTTTACCTACTGGAAAACCCTCATAAAAATTAAACTCTTTCCTACTTCCTCCAAATGTTTAAAATTTTCTAAAAAGAAAATTTTTGAGTTGTTTATTCTTTTCTTCACTTTTCACTTCCTTTTTTCACTTCTCTTTTCTGTTTTTTTTAACTTCCCTTAACTCTTTTTTTTCAACTTATTCTTTTTGCATTTCATTTTTCTTTCCCTGCTGAAATTAGGTTTTTTCTTTCCCTTGAAGGTTTTTTCTTTTTAGGGCTCTCTTTCTTTTTTGAAATACCATTCCATTTTATTACTCCTCTAGCCAATAGAATTTTCTTTTTCAAAAATCATTAAGAAGTAACAACTTTATTAAGATATGGGCTTCAAAATATTTTTCTCTTCCATGGTACTCAAAAAAGGCTGAATGGTTTGCTTCCTCCAAAAGATCAACATGGCCATCATTATCAAATCTGGTGTTGATATTAAAGACTAGATACATCTAAGAAACCATTGTACAACTATTATCACCTAAATCTCCAAGGAGCTGTGTCCTACAGTATCTAGAGTGATATGGCCACCAAAGCCAATGTAGCTAGCAATAACATCAGGAAATTTTTTAGCAAAAATCTTAAAAATCTTTAGGCGTAGACCTCTGGAGGACCTCCATTGTCATTAAAAGACTCTGGAGCAAAACTTAATATATTAAACTTCAGAGATCTTCAATTTATTTTAATAATAATAAAATATATTTATATTTACATATTATATTCTATTAATATTCAATTTTAAATGTTTATTTGCTTTTAAAATTATTTATTATTACATAATTCTTGTTTACATTTATTTATTTGTCTAAGTCTTTACTTATTGCCAAAGTCCTCTCTAATTCTCTATTTTCCAGTAATTGTCTCAGATCATTCTCAGTATTTTAACCTTCTTCTGGATTATCTTCTATAGTAATAATTTGTCACTCAGTCATTTTTTCATCTTTCCTACTTGAATTTTCTTCGAATCCAAGTTCTTTTTAATTCTCTCCTAAAAATATTATTAGCAAAAATTTATATTACTTTGAAAACTTTTAAAACTCACCTTATTTTTTTTACTTTGCTTTTAATTAATGTTTCATTTATCAAAATACTTTCATTATTTGGATCAAGAACTGTTTGACATACTGCAATGGTAAATGCCACTTGTTCCTCAGAGACATTTCCCTTTGGCCAGATTTTTTTGAGAATACAGGCCATCATGCTTTGTGTCTCTTCTCTTGGACATTTGTAAAGATTTTCAAAGCACTCAGCAGTCTTCCGAGATTGTTTCCAGGCCAAAATTTCGGTAGTGGATGCATTCGTATTTATTGTATCCAAAAACTGAAAACATGGCATCACGAATTTTTGAAACCATAGTCCCACGAAGCGATCAATGCTGTTTCACAAGCTTTTAAAGCAATAAGGTATTAAATAACTGAAGAACTAAAGTTATTAACATTTATAAGAATTACCACTTGATGAATATGTTTTTCATAATATGTTTTCCAACGTTTTCTTGTGAGGCCTTTGTAGAACTCTGAATGTTCTTGCCGAAAAAATTTCTTGGTTATTTGGCAAAAATCTTCAGGGTCTGGATATATTTTTCAAAAAATACTTGTTTTGCGATACTCTTAACCACGTGCTATTTAAATAAACTATAATTTTTTGCCATTCTAATAATTGATCAATTTTTTTATGAAGGCCTTTGTGGAACTCCATGATTCTTTCAATAGCTTTATTAGGGACTAAATATATAAGTTAGTATTTATTTTAAATTATGACAAATTTTTAAATATACCTGAAGTTTCTTCAGACATTCTCTAGGCTGGTGTGTCAAAAAACAATTCAAAGAAATGCCTAGGGGATCTCAATCGCTTCTGAGGTGTTTTGTTTCCAATTCAATAGAAGTTGAGGGTCTTCATTCTGTAGCTGGCCCTTGGATTCCCTGAGTACTCTTTGCCTTTTTAGAGGACTTCGAAGTACTTTCTTGACTTTTTCTTTAAGTTTTTGAAACATTTTACATATTTCTTGTTTTTTGTTTGACATTAAAAAAAAAGTGAGAACTTTAGAGATCTTATATAATACAAATTCCAAGAAATTATGTCATATTATGACTGCAAACTTTTTTTTATCCCTTTTGAAAATTACTTCATAAATTTAAATCATTAAGTTATCATACAAAAATAAAATCATTTTATCATTTTATTGACATAATTATTGCAACTTTTAAATTAAATTTTTGATTGGTCAAAATTAGTTAATATTTTATTAGTTAATTTTACATATTTTC